ATCAAAAAAAAGAAACGCTACCACGAAATGGAATAAAAAAAAATCATTACAAAAAAATATTTATATTTTGACTTTAGTGTACTTTTTAGAAAAAAATTGATATATTTCATTTTATCCGTCCGTGTGTCTACATATTGTACCCAAAGAAACCACAAACGTTTTTGAAATTCCGCAAACGTATAAGTAGAACCTTGCATCTTCTCTCGCGAAACAGTATACGGAAATATTATAATGATCAAATGGCCATCGAATTTAACCGTTATCTTAGACCAGCTTTTTTGTTTGGCTACACATTGCAGATGTCGGAGAATTTTATAGTTTATAACTATTCCGATGAAATTCCAACTCCTTCCTTTTCAATGCTACTGCCTTTCAAAACTAACAAAAGTTAATTTTTCTTTCTCTTTGTTTCTGAATTATTTCACGGTCGTCATATAAAATAATATAATTAGACGAACCATCAAATCTGACACGTTATGCTTCCTTTGAAAATATTGGCTTTCATCCTAAATATATGCAATAATTAGTATACATTTTGTTGTTTTAATGAAAATAATTTTATAAGACGATCGGTTTAATTTTAAAAATTCTTTTAACTTATTCTAGGGAAAAGCGCTACTTTGCAAACCATTGGTTTGATTCAAAATTATTATAAATCACTTAATTTATTTTTTTTTTGTTTTAAATAAAATTTTATGCCGAATAAAATGTAAAATATTTTATTTTTGTTTTCCTTGTTTTTGATATTTTGTTTCATTTTTTTTTGTATTTGTTGCGGGTGGGGTTTTGAGGGGGTTGAATAATTTATTTTTCTTGTAAACCGGGACCATAAATCTTTGATTTTTGTTTTCAAAAAAAAATTTTTTATTTTTTATTGAATTTTGTTCTGCTCTTTTTTTTATGCCTTGATTTGTTTCATTTATCCTTGTTGTTGTATTTTGATTCTTGTTTTTTTTTTTAATATAAAATTATTGGAAAATATTATCTTATCCTTTCAAAGGGATGAAATCATTTATAAAACATAAAATATTTTTTTATTGTGTTCCTTTTAAAAACAATAAGAAAATGTTATGAAAATAAAATGAAACGACAAGAAACCGAAGCAACAAAAAAAAAATGGAAATTCTTAAAAAAAAAAAAATAAAATGTAGGGAAATTTATTCTAGAAATCTTTAAATAAATGTCTGTTATATTATACATAATAAATTTTATAATAGAAACAAAGAATAAGCATCAAAATGTAATGAAATATTGAGAAGTAGGAAAGGAAAATCACATTTATGTTCAAGTAAATATATATACAAATATATGTATAAATGTGAATCTATATTATGTATAGATACATGTGTCCTAACTTAATATTATGTACATTATCATAAACATAAGATATCCATTAAAAATTTACCTTCCCTTTTCGCAAGACCATCTCCAAAATTATGTTCCAAGTAAAAATTTGGTTTTTTTAACCTTTATATAATGCTCTTTTGCTCTCTCTTACTTCCCTTACCCGGAATTCTTTAATTTAAAAGCATTTCGAAAAAATATTTGTATATTCTTAAAATCATTCTATAATAGCTTTCAAACGCCTACAACAATCCCTACTAAAAGAAGAAACAAAAAATATTTAACCATAAGATTGTGTAAAAAAAACAAAATAGAAAAGTCTCAGAAAACTTCATAAATTTTAACTCAGATTGGACATAAAACAAATAAATGCTTACTTAACCCAATTTATCAGAACAAGAAAACAACAAAAACAAAAAAAAAAAAAACAATCAAATAGGAAGGAAAAATAATAACAAAAAAAAAAATTCGGAAAAGAATAAGTAAATTGATCCTTTTATTTGAAGAAAGGACCCTCTACGACTATAAGCAAATATTCTATAATGAAGAAACGTTTTACATGTATAACATTATTTAAGTTAAAAAAGAGAAAAGGCAATCCAATTTGGATTTTAAAAAAACAAAAAATTATTTTTCATAATATTGAAGTTTTGATTTATTTTCATTCCTTCACAAATGTGTAGAAGATTTTCTTTTTTGTCATTTTGGACAATATGTTTACTTTTTTTGTTCTTGTTTTTTTTCCCTCAGTTTTACTGTAAAACACACCTTGAATATAAAACACAGAGGACAGTATAACCCAAAATCTGTTTTAGATTTTAAGCAGGTTTTTAAAGAGATGAAAAATTTTTGTATGAATACCAGTAGTAGTAATGAAAGTTACCATAAAAATTTTTCTGATTAAATTAGATGAAATTATTCGATTTCGGTGTGAATTTAAATTTCACTTCGTTTCGGAATTCAAATATTCCTAACTTTTTGAAATTTATGTACAAATTTCGATTATAAGAATATAAAAAATTAAGTATATGAATTAATTTAACGTGTTTAAAAGGCTATGTAACAAAAAATGTTGTTCATTCATATAAGGTACCCTATCTAGTATGCAAGGTTATAATATGACAAAAGTAGTTATAAGGCTCACATTAACTAACTGCAACAACTTCTTAATAAAATTAAAAAATCTGATGTGGTCAGCACATAACCGACCGCATTGTGTATTGTCTAGTTAAATGAAAGTGTTACAGAATATTATAAAAATGTCTGTTAAATACTTCTTTCCAATTTTTAGGACATTAGTAAGCTTATAGTTAACATACTTAGAAAAATGTAAATTTGGCTCTTAGTAGAGTTTCGCTTTGTGCTACCCGAATTCCCTGAAATGCTCGCCAGTTAGTTTCGGTAACAACCAGAGCTCAAATATCAAATTTCAAGAAATTCCATCAATTTGTTCTGTGTATATGGTGAAAAATGTAAAATCGGCCCGCAAATCAGTTCTCGAGCCGTGATCTTTCCAAAAAATTTATATGTTCATTGTTTTAATACGAGGAGTTCATATATTAAATTTCAATGAAATCGGTTGATTATTTCTCTTTATATACACAAAAATGTATATTTGGCCCGTAGTAAACGTGCAGTTTCCGATGCCTGATTTCTTCCAAAACATAGGAGTTTTTGCGGACGGTTGAGCTGAGCTTATATATAAAATTTCAAGTAAATCGGTTGAATATTTTCTTCAAAATGTTCAAAAATGTAAAACAGGCCCGCTAAAAAGTGCAGTTCCCGAGGCCTGATATATACCAAAAGTTGATCGATCCGTGCCATGGTGGAAACAAACTTACATATAAAATTTCATCAAAATCGGTTCAGCCGAACTTGAGATACACGCGTGCACACACAGACCGACAGACGGACAGACCGACAGACCGACAGACCGACAGACCGACAGACCGACAGACCGACAGACCGACAGACCGACAGGTTGCTAAAAATAGTTTATTTAGACTTCCCTACTATGGAGAAGTACGTTCCCACCGAAAACTCGATATGCAAAATTTGTTGCCATCACATAACCTACCTATTGTTTACACAATACGGTCGGTAAAAATGATATTCAAAATATTTCCTTTTCACAAAAATTTGATGTAGGAAAGACATATACCCTTAAAAATGAAAATTTATTATAAAGAAAATTTTGAATTTTATTGTCAAATTTAGTAATTGCATGTTTTCTTGGAAAAACAAAATTGTAAACCATAAAATCATTTGTGAGAACTTCTCTATATTTGAATACTAGCAATTATATGAATTATCTTTTCTAAACACTATTTTAAAATGAAACAATATTAGTAATGAACGCTTTGAGTGTTTTGATCACATTATTTTCACCTATTCTAGTTGGATCGGAATTATATTGAGATTTCTAATTGCTATTGACAATAAATTTTAGAACTTAAATGTATTTTGTTATAATTTTTTTATTAACTTTAATTACACCACAAATTTTTTATGCTTTTCGAATTTTAAATTTTTTTCTCGCCCAAATATATGCAATTTTATATTTTAGTTAAATTTTTGAAAACTAATTAAAAGTTCAATGTTTTCTATCAATTTTTTGGTTTCAATATCATGTAATTCAAAATTTTATTTTAAAATTTTATGTTATATTTAATGATTATTTTGATTATTGTAAATATTTTGATTATAACAATTAAGTTTATATACAAAAACAAAACTATATTCATTATGTACATAAACACAAACAAACACCTCTATTCTAATAGAAAAAAATGTCCCAGTCGGTAAATTTTATCAATTGTAAAATGAATTCTTCTTTACTGCAAATTCACCCGCAGTTGTACCTATACTCATTGTCAATTTTTATTCTGATATTTGGATCGTTGCTGTAGCCAACGCGCCCCAAATTGCATGACATTCCAAAATAACCACATACCATTGCCGTTATTGATATCACTCGCTCACAAAACCCTGGTATATTGATACCACTCTCTCATAAAAACCTGCTGACCAATGTTCGTTCAACTGCAGGACGTATATCACAACCATCCCGTTATTTTAATAAAAAATTTTTTCTACATCTATGATATTTTTGTAATGCAAAATCCAGTCATGCTCCCCTCCTCTAACAAGAACAATCTTCCTTTCCCCGCAGAGGAAGGTATTTTAATGAAGAAGCGTCTATTTTTTGTATGACAACAAAATTGTTTATTCTGTAGGAAGGCAAAAATTTCTGTATTTTCAGTTTTTAAATTGAATTGAATTCCAATGTTCGAACTTCAAAAATGCAATGCCAAATTTAATTAAATATATTTCGTAATCTGAGAGGTGAATACGAATTAGAACTAGTTTTACTTAACTGTAAAGCAGAATTTTAAAAGTGAAATTTATTTTAATTTGAAGTTGGTTTGGAAAATTAGAGTAAAAAATATTTTTATTAAAATATATTTTTTATGTAAATAAATTAAATTAAGTTTTTTTATATAATATATATATACAATTATTATGTAGATGTGTGTTACACCAATCCACTGCAATTTTTCGTTTTTTTTTTGTCTTTTTTTTCTATTTATATTTCTTAACAAAAAAAAAAAAAATCAAAATCCTCTACCATAATGCATTCACTAAAATTATACCAGTATGCTTTGCTGCAGACAGTTGTTGAAGCATGCCAAAAGAAGCGACATTGTAAATTTGCTGCAACACCAAAATCAGCTGCCGGAGATCCATGTCCTGGTATTAGAAAATTCGTTGAAATAGCATACAAATGCCGTCCATGTAAGTAAAAAATTTTATAAATATTCTTAAATTTTATATTATTAATTTTTTCATTAGTCTTATTTAAATATGAAAATTTAGGAATTGAAGCACAAAGACAAAAAAAAATAAAATTATTGACGCCAACAACAAAGTCTAATACAATAAATTATTTATAAATTTTATTTATTTAGGTTATTTTTCAAAAACAAATAATATATTGCTTGCCAAATAGTTAAATTAGTTAAGAATTTTTTTTTTGGCAAATAAATATACTAGTATGTCAGTAAGATTATAATATGCCAGTTTTAAATTATAATATTGAGTACATAAAGCATTATAGCCCAATTCATATTATTGTATGAATAAATGCAAGGATATGCAATTAATAAAATTGACTTGAATAAATGATAGTGCTATTATAATAGACAATAAAATACAGAATTAAATGAATATGTGACGGATATTGTGGGTGTATGAGGCTCGTACACAATTTTGTTTTATTTGTACTTATAAATATTTGCAAAATTAGTAATGACTGAATTATTTTAAAAATTTTTAAATCTTACCAAAAATAAATCGATTTCATTGTACTCCTCCTCAAATAGCAATTATCTATTGGTGTGGTGATTTGTTTAAAATATTAATTTTTAAAAAATTTCAAATATTATAAAATTTTGGAAAATGATTTGAAATATTTTATTGATCTTTAATGATAATTACAATGGTAGAGAATAGTGAACAAAATTTAATTTAATAAATTCTTATATAAAAAACATCAGACCTTCATATTACTTGCATGAATATAAACATACTTAAGATGGAATGTGGAACTGTTATATAGTCTTGACATACTATAATCATTATAAGCAAACATTAAAAAATTAAAAAACTTTAAAAAGGCAACACTATAATATTTGAAAACAAAAACTGACTTAGTGATTTAAGGATATTAAAACAAAATTTATAAATTAGAAAATTTTTATGACTTTGAAACATTCGTTTAATATAGCTTTTATAATGGTATATTTAAAAAAATATAGGTCGTATACCCTCCTATAGTCACAATAATTTTGATTTGTTTAAAAAAAAATATAAAAAATATTAAAAATTTTTTTACTTTAAATATTTTTTAGAATAAAAGTTTCCTTTAAATTTTCATGATGAAATTTCAACCAAAAATAAAAAAAAAAATATTAAACCTGAAATAATATAAAAGAAACGTCCTTGAAATTCCTAACAATAAAATAATAATAAAAAAAAAAAATTTAAGAAATAAAAAAGAGAAAACACCAAAATAAAAGTGCTCCCTTTAGGATACCTTAAAATTAAGAATCTAAATCCTTTTATTTTTCGGTTTATATATCAAATTGTGTATATACATACATATAATATATGTATAACATTTATTAGAAATACTAAAACCAGAAAAACAAAGGAACATACGCATAAACCTATAGTATTTAAATATTTCTTACACTATGCTTATAAGAACGGATAGTCAAGCGTTATAAGCATTTTAATTCTCCCGATACAATAAGGATGATATGAAAAATTTTAGGTATAAGGAATTCCTAGTGAAAATTTATATTCATATTGGATTTCTAATTTATTGAAGTGGATATTTGGGCTATTTTTTAAATTTGAAGAATAGCTTATGTTGCGGGTTCACTTTTTAATATGGTTGTATGGGTTTGATTATGAGTAAGTTGATTATAACTTGTGCTATACAATTAATTTTTTAATTACAAAATATATCGTACGATTATTTTTATATTTGAGAATTTAGGACTATAGCAGCTAATGCATAAATGAATTTAAGAAATAAATATTTTTATAAAAATTTTATTATATTCAGTATAATATTTTTGATCAAGTAGTTTCCAAATATCAAATGAAGTTTGACTATGAATTTTATGCTGGTGAATAATATAAATTAGCTATGAGACAATGCAAGGTATTTAATTACCAGAATTATGATTACCCTATTTATCAGCATTACGGTCTCAATTATCACTCAGTTATGAAAAACCTACGGGTTTTATAACAATTTTCTTTTAATCTTTAAAATCTAGAATCTATTCCAATAAAATTTAATGTCTTCTATAAAAAAAAAAATTTTGTATTATTAAATTTCATTCATTCACGCCACAACTACTCTTATTAAATTTTAAAAATAAAATTTTAAATATCAAATATCACTTAGCACGGCCCTAAAATATCAAATTTTTTTTTTTTTATATTATGTGCTTATTTCTATTTATTTTAAAACTTCTTTGTATATTTTTATAAAATTTTTGGATATTTATTGCCAAAGGGGTTCTTAGAATAAGATATATTTTAAGGAGGCCTTAGAATAATTATTGTGTAGGTGTATTTTGCTTTTTTTTTTTTGTCTATAGGTAACAAAAATGAAATTCTTCTTAATATAGAAAAATTATTGAATTAAATCACCAAGAGTAGTCGGGAATATTTTTTTTTTTGTTTTTCAATATATTGATACAATATTAGTATATACAGGGTGATTCAGTAAAGAATAAAATATTGTATACCATTGTTTAAGGCATCAAAAATTGGTAATATTTTTTTTGGTGGAACTAGTTGTCAAAACCCTACGGTTTTCGATATAGCGAATTTTCATGAAATTTCTACTTGCCCAAACTTTTTTGCTCATAAATTCCTTTCCATAGAGAATAGAAGCTTCAAATGAACAGTTTCTGAAAGGGTTATTAAAGTAAAGTAAAACCACGGGGAATTTCATGTAAAATTTCGTATTTCACTAAAAATCCTAAAATTTTTATTTTTATCAATCAAATCAATAAAAGCTATAACCCATTTTTCATGCCCTAAACAATAATATATAATATTGTACTCTTTACCGAAACACTCTGTATATTTTGTTATATACAGTTGTTTATTTTCCCTTAAGCTCTTTTTCCACATTTATTCCTTAATTTTTTATTTTTATTTTTAGCTTCTTTCAGTATTGGATTTTGTTATACGTTAGTAACTAGTCATCAAAATCTCTATCCCTATGGATATAAAATTATCTCTTTCTAAGTGTTTCCAACTTTCTAATATAATCCATTCGTTTTGTTTAAAATATATAGGACATATATATATAGCTTATCCTGCATAATATGTAGATGTATGGTTTTATTTAATTGAGGAAAAGAAAAAGTTTTGGGCTTTTTATTACTTTTTCATATATTTTTTTCACTTATATGGTAAACAGCCCTATACATTTATCTACATTATCTTTCTATGGAAAAAATTATAAAAATAGTTTTTTTTTCCAATGTACAGAAATAAAGTTTCGATTCACATACTTAAAAATAACAAAAAAAAAATAAAATATAAACTCAAACACACGTCAAATTATACTTGAGAAATAATAAAATTTCCAATGTTTTTTTCTTTTCTTTTTATTTTTACACCTATATAAGGGCACATCTACTCACATTCATATTGGTATTCCTTTTCCATATTTACCCTTTTCGTTTTATTCTTGGTTCATTGAATATGACTAAAATGATGTGTTTGATTTTCTACTTTCGAGGGAAAAAAAAATTTCAAGGAAAAATTTAATATGGGAAAAAATTTTTTTTTTTGTAAGGTTTTTGGCCTGAAAGAAAATACATACATAATAAATTTCCACATATGTTTATTTTGAGAGAATTTTAAAGGGAAAACTAAAAACAAAAAAAAATTGAAATTTTTTACATCTTGAAGATGAAAATTTTCAGTTTTTACTCTTATTGATTATACATTCAAATATTCTTACGAATGTATGCATGTGTGTGTGTGTATTAGAATATAGGATATGCAATGTGTTATTAAAATTTAACCCTTTTCAGAAGATATTGGAAATTTTTTTTTTTGAATATCTCTTAAAGGGACCAATTTTGAATTGTATTAGAAAAAGAAAAACAAAAAAAAAATTTTTCGTATCAAAATAATATCTTTGATAAAGGTCATGTTATATACGTGGGTCTAATATGCTCACCTTTAAAATATTTTTCATATTTTTTTTTTGTTTTTTTTGGAAGAATATTAAATTTAATATTTTATTTGTTTAACTTTGATGTATACGTCCCAATATCTCGTATATTTGGTATAATTTAATAAGTTTATTTTAAAAATAATATTGAAAATTTTGATCCATATTAAAGGAAGAAATTAATTTTTTAAAAATATTGAACAGTATCCTGTCTGTATACATATACAATTATTCTTTAAAATACTGAAGATTTTCATTGAAAGTGTATAATATTTTTTTTCGTTTGATTGAACAGGTTAAAGATTAAGCTTAGTACTTATAATTTTAAATTACTCATAAAAAAAGGGTATAATAGGTGTAATATAAGGATCTAATTACCATATAGTCAATATTTGGAACTAAATAGGCTAATATTATTCTGATATTCGAAAGAAATATAAAGCAATTAAAGATATCTGCGAAAAAGTTTTCATTTCGCAACATTTATAATATTTTCCTAATATCTTCGTAATTATCTGAAATAAATATTGAATTATGAAACATATTGGCTCCATGCAACAGTTTAATCTATACCCTTAAGGATTTATGCAATGGTATGCGGTTGTAAATCAAAAGCAGAAACATCCTTATGAGCCTATGCGTTAGAGCTACATCTGATAAAGCTATGAGTGTTAATATTTCCAGAACAATGTTGCATTTCATTATATTTATGTTTTAAATTATAGTTGTATACCCCAAAATATCTGAACTGCATTGCAGTCATCAGCACATTAAAAAGTAAAATTTTATACAAAAACAATTATTTTGGAAAATTTCATATGTTCGATGAAAAAATATTGTAAAATAAAATCTCATTATACAAATTTCAATATTAAATCTAGCATGACCTTGTTAATTTGTTAGAGAAAGCAATGAACATGACAAAAAAAATTTATAATACAATAGAATGACTTTTAAAGAACCTTTTGCCAATAGAATGTTTTTCCTTTAAGAAAATACGTTTTTTTTTTTTTTTTCCTTT